CCTGCTGCACAGTTGACAAAGAGCTGTTGGGTTGCACGTTGTTGTGATGCTCTGGTTTCAGGCACCCAAATGAAATCACCTGCCTATAAATACCTTTTCCTTAATTTCTTTAAATCAGCCTAATTCAAAGACATTTGGATAGAAAATGGCAATGGTTCTCTTCGTAACTGTGGCTCTCGAATAGTGTAGTCCCATCCTTTTAGCTTTGCTGTGCTTTTTCCTTCCTTGCACTGAATCATGAAGGGAAAAGTAGATCAAAGTAGGTAACACTCGGAGTCTGAACACTGCTAACGTCTGTGGCCAGAAGTAGATGGCATTAGCTAGTGGTAGAGTAGAACCTGATGTTAGTTAATACTGTGCTCCTCTATACCCAGATAAAAAGTAGTTTTGTTGGTGATGGGTGTAATCTGTTTTTCTGGTTTATTTGCTTGCGATTCGTCCTTGCATTTGGTTGTGGGAGCAAATAGGAAACTAACATGAAGCTTTTTTATACAGATACAATATAGCTTTAATTGCAGGCTAAGCACATTTTGCTGTGTTAAATTTAATTTTTCCTTTTTCTATTTTTTTACTAGCTGATTCTGATAGTGGTGACAAATCAAACGTGAGTACCTTTTTTGCATTGTTATTTGTTTTAGAGATACATCTTTAGCAAAAGTGAATTTTTTATGCAAACTGTCTTGTAACATCCCCAAATCAGCATGAGAATTTTTTTTCTCATGGAAATGGGAGAGAAAAAATACAACCCAAATCAAGACCTGGTCTGAATCTGTAATTTATGTGTTCTTCCCTTGCCCAGAAGGAATGCTAGCTATACAGTACTGATTTGCTGGAACCACTAAAGCTTCATAATCTCAAAATAATATGTAACTCCAAGTTATCCATTCTACTTTAAATGCATGGAAATTAGAGACCACAACTCTGCTGTCTCCCCAGTGGAAAAAAAAAACCAAACAAACCACCACCAATGCTAACTGAAGTACACAGTATTTCATATTCTGTTTGTCACGTAAAAATAGACATAATTTCTTCCTATCAGATTCTAATATGACTCTTAGTGGAAAGGAATATGACATCAAGTGTCTAAAATTGCCCTTGATTATAAGGATTTTAAACATGCAAATGTATCATGTAATGGGATCCTTACTGAAGCCTGAGATTTTATTTCATTATGGATAAAAATTTAGAACAAGGCTATAGGCTGTTGTGCTGGCAGCTATGTGAAATGCGAGAATATATTTTACAATCACAAATTGCTTTGCATGTTGCACAGAAGATTATAGAAAAGAAAAATAGATATTTTCTTTAAATTTGAGTACCTGCAGGTATCTCTGTTCAGTGCTGCTTAGAGCTTTCTTTCAGATCTTTTTTTCTTTTTTTCCCCTCCAGTTGAATTTTCCCAAGCCTGCCTTTGGAAACCAAATTATTATTTTATCATTTGGATACCTGTGGGCAATCCCAAGTGTCAATGAAGCTAAGAATATTATCTGCTAACTGAGAGACCCATTATCTACTTCTCAATTTCCCGTTTTAACATTGCTGCCAGGGGTGGTCCAGATGAACTGCAGCTTTCTTGGTAGCCTTGTGAAGTACAGTGTTAAAGTCTAATAGCTTGGTTTTCCTTCATGCAAGCGTTTCAATTCCTGGTCCTGGGATCCGGAAGAAGAGCGAAAGCGCCAGGAAAGGTGGCAGCATGAGCAAGAACGCTTGCTTCAGGTGAGGAAGAAACTACATTTCTTCCACCGTGTAGCTCAGGTGTTGAATTGTCCCTTTGGACAAAAGTTGGGCATTTCATGTCATGTCTTCCACATCCCCTGTGGATGCTTGAGCAAATTCTGTGGCAGATGAATAAGAACATGAGCATATACACACATTCTCTGTGGTTTGGGCACTCTTAACATCTCCCTTCCCCGCTCCCTGGGAAGACCGAAAGCACTTAGTTCTGCATTCCAGTGCAGAGTTAAACCAAATGTTGATCCTCAACTGTATTTAAAGTATGTTGAGCATAGACTGTGAGACTTAATTACTTGGAGCCTTTTTCTCAAGACTGGTATTTTGCTGACCCTGATGCCTATGCAACTCTTCTTTAAAATGATGGTCTTAATAGATTTTTGTAGATATCTGCTTTGCTCACAGGTTCTTCTTGGAAAACATCAAGCTAAATTTGGACACAAAGGGGTTGAGGTCTTTTTGTGAGGGGGGGAAACACCCTCAAAACAACCACTGTTTTTGCCTAGTGGTAGAGTAAGCTGTAAAAGGTCTGGTTTTGTGTCCTAGTTGGGAGAAGTGCAGTGGCCCTGAGAACTCTAATTTCCCTGTCAGTCAGTAGTATCTTTTGAAACTGTGATTAGGTTTGGTCCCAAAGAAATCATATCTTTCCTCCATGCAACAGAAGAGCAAACTGTCAAAGGATGGAGAATAATAAAATGGAGTATTTTCATATTTTAACAATGACTTGTGTGTCTCTCTACTGCTTTCTTGAGAAAGTATTTTTAGCTAATACGGTTGTTTCCTCTTAAAATGGTGTAAAATTCTCATCATAACTTTTCTGGCATATGTGGGTGTTCTCTCAACAGTGAATGCATCTCTTCTGGATTAGGCCGATGTGGTTTCTAATTTGAACAGAAGTTGGAACTGGTGTAAAAGGGATATGGAAGTCACCATTCTTCCCCATATTCAAACCAGTTCTATCAAGCAATTTTCAGGATCTCTTTGAGATACTTTTTCATGCAAAACTGTGTGAAAACAATTCTCAAGAAATAATTCCATCAAGGATGAAAATAAACTACTTTGCTGATTATAAGCTTACCCTCTTCAAACCTTTACACACTATTCATTTATCTTTTAAACTTGCACAGGTATTCATCATTCATTAATTGTACTTGCATCTCTCTTAAATTAGTACCAGTATCTGCAAAACCCGCTTGTTTATATGCTACTTTGTTAAGCTGTTAATGTAAAATCCACCCCCAAGTGTTTTGGGGTGTGTGATAGCTTTTTGGAACTCTACATACTGTATAACAAAAAAGGAATTATTGAAAATATTGAGCATAAATTTCATTTCTGACCAAAGATATAAAAACTTCTAACAAATTAAAATTCTTCTAGTATGTTATAAGTTCCTCATGGTTTGAAGGTGTTAAATGTAAGTGCTAGAAACAAGTGGGGAGAGGAAGAAAAGAAGCTTTTTCTGACACCCATGGATGTTTCAAATTTTTATCTGCCTATTTCATCCTATTTCTGATTAAACCACTCTTAGCAGGTTCATTTTCACTGCGGAGATACTACAGAATTTACTCCTAATAAGGAATGCTCTGAATTTACCTGTGTTTGTATCTTCTTACAGGAGAAGTATCAGAAGGAGCAGGACAAGCTGAAAGAGGAATGGGAAAAGGCCCAGAGAGAAGTTGAAGAGGAGGAGCGTAGATACTACGAGGAGGTATAAGGCGAGGAGGAGGAGGTTGTTTATTGACTTTTTTTGTATTTAAATGCACCGACTTACATAACTAAAAAAATCCCATACCTAAATTAATTAATGAAAAGCCTCCTCAAGGCTGAATTCTCAGGATTGTTTCTCTTAAACACTACCATAGGCACTGAGGAAAAATATTTAAATATTTAGACAGGTATCCTCAGAACCTCCGCATAGGTGGAGGTGTCTAATTGCTGTGCAAGTCAGAATGAGTCAGTGTGGTTGTGTCTGGGCACACTCAGACTTCCCTCCAGAGGCAGAGCCTTGTGCGTTTTGGCATATACTTGGTGTCTGAACTTGGTGGAACTCCAGATGAAATTGTTGTCTGCCTTGGGCTTGATCATGTAGATGTTTTGTAAACTGGCCTTGTTTTTCAAAAAAAATCACAGGAAATGTTCAAAGCTTGTAGTTGTAGAATATTAACCATATAGAAGATAGTGGTTTTCTTCTGTCGTATGTGGGTCATTATTGCAGGAAATCGGAAAATATTCGTGTCTTCAGTTTGACTAGTTGTACATTATACAAATTGATGTCTTATCATCTGTGCTTGAGGGCCATACTCATGATCTGAGCAAGAATTTTTTTTTTTCAACTTTCAGAAGAAATTTCTTATGTACCATATTTTTATATTAAATGTAATAGACTAGTGTTTTGAGAAACAGTGGTGCCATCCCAAGTGAAATATTCTTTCCAGTTTTGGACATCCCATCTCAAAGATGGTTATGGTGAAAGGAAAGGGAGTGCAAAACCTTAAAGCAAATTAAAAATTGAGGTGTTAACCATTATTCTTGGTACCACAGGTCCTTATCTAGCCATCTAAATGTGAGTGTGTAGCCAAACTTTATGATTGTACTTTTTAAGCTCATAGTTGACATTCTGTACTTTTAACCCGTGCTCTCTCCTAATCCTCTTTTTTTTTAGGAACGTAAGATAATTGAGGATACTGTAGTTCCATTCATTGTTTCTTCAAACTCTGCTGAGCTCCTCTCCTCCTCTTCCTCTACCACTGAAGGAAACAAGACAGCGGTGAGTTTCTCATGGATTAGTAAGGCAATAAAGACTAAGCTATCTAAAGTGCTAAGTTTCATTCTTCACTAAAGGCTAACAAAGTCTGGGAACAGTAAGAGTAAGAGTATTCCCTGGATCCTTTCCATAGCTGGTGATACCTCAGAGTGCTGTAGTTTGTATATTTTTACAGCTGAAGAGCCATACGCCCAAGCAAACTGCTACCATCCTATTTTGGGCTAGAGCAGAGGGTGATACTTCCTCTCTTTGCAGCTGCTTCTCTTCTTTAACTGGTGCTGTGAAAAAAACAATCACCTGTTGATATTTGTTTTAACTACCTTCTCAAAGCCAACAAAATCTGAAGTGAGTTCCCTGCATCCAAAATCTTGAGTGTAAGACAGTGCTGTAAGCATATCTGAGATGAAACTAAATCCTGCCTCCCCACTTTCCTCCTTTTTTCTTGCAACATCCCTCCTAGAAAGCAGCAAAATGAACAGAGGAATGTTTACTCTCTACTCTCTTTTGGCTTATGTGGCACAAAATGTTTAACTCGATGCATCTAGCATCTAATTAAATGTTTGCCAGAGATCAGAGAATGATACCCCAGGTGAGATCAGTAGATGTGGGATTCCCAGACTTAGCTTTCTCCTGCCTAAGGCACCCACACCAAAGAAGACATCTGCCTTTTTCCATTCAACTCTGGGATTAGGAGTACTGTATCATCTGGTTCTCCTCTCACCCCTCCTGCCCCCTCTTATCACTCATCCTTGTGCAGTGGCATCAGCTATGGCCCTTTTTCCACATGGCTATGTAGCAGTAACTTCCTGGATGGAGTTGCTTATGCCATGTTGAGGGCAGTACCTGCACCCAGAAGTGAAGGATCTCATGCCATGGCTTACTGAAGCTCCACCAGCCAGGTATGACCCACTCCAGTACCATTTCGAAGTAGTACTTGTGTTGCCATTTGAGAATGCCCAGAGCATGTGAATAATGCTCTGCCTCCTGGCAGAGTCAAGAAGCTGAGGTCCCTCACAAAGTCCTTCCAAGTCCAATGGGAGGCTGTCTAGACTCTCAAAGTCATTCAAGGATTTCTGCCAAAAATGTGTAGCGGCAAGTTTTATTTTGTCATCCTGAACACCATCTCATAATTGGTCAGTCCTGCACTTTTTTGTTTCGCGCTCAATTTAATACAATTAGTTGATTGTTTTAGCTGAAGTCTTTGTTAAATCCAAAGTTAGCCTTACCAAGGTCAAATGATTCCACTGTGTAATGTGAGATGTTCTTTATGATAATAAGGTGTGTCAGCACGGTATATCTGGGGGCAGCCTGTGCCTTTCTCATGCATGTGCTGATGCCGAATTCAAGGGAAGCTCCTTGTTCCCTCCCCTGCTGTCTTCTAGAACACATCTGATTCAAACAGCTCTCCAGAGGAAGGCAAACAAAAAGAAGTTACAAGGCAGAAAAAGCTGCTCTGGGAGCAGGACAGTATACCATCTCCAAAAAGCAAGGAAAATGACCTCTGGCAGGAAAAGAAGAGGTATGCATCAAGCCTAAGCATTTCTTAGCCCTGTGGAGCTTTGTGTTCTGTAGAATTCTGGGATGTCACATCTGCCCATGATTAATGCTGGAGCATCAGCATCTAGTGGCCTGGTGATATGTATAATATATTCCAATGAATATTCACTTGCCACAGGCTTACGCATATATGGCTATGAGCAGTGCTAGTTTTGCATATCAGACGGCTTGCCTTTTCATTATACGGCTTTGCTGAAAGGCTGTCGCATTAACCAGGTCAGAGCTTAGATAGCTCAGACATCTCTGTGCGGCACTGCACTGTGTCTTGTGTACAAGTTTCACAAGCCATTTGGAGGAATAGAAGTGCACTAGCTATTTTCACTCAGAATCTGTGTGAGATTGCCTGGCTATCTCAGAAGTGCCGTACCCGAACTTGCCAGATGGCGTTCAAAGTCCGGGTCTTTGCCCAACTGCTAATAACAGCTTTCACAAAGATGAGAAGCATCTGATGATGCTGAACACTGGATAGAGAACACTGAGAAAAGGTGTTTCTGTGGCAAAGAAGCCATTTTCTACAAATTCAGAATGATCTTTACTGCATGTAAGTGGCAGTGTGTGAGGGAAGTGGGAAGACTTGGCATGTTTGGAGACTCGTTAATTCATGACAGGTTATCCTCATTGTTTAGTCATTGCTGACACAATAAGAAAAATCTTGTTGCAAAAAATAGACTGATATTTGAGAGTCTGATTTTGCCATTATATTCTAGGTGGCATTTTTGCTGGCATTATTTATACAACGTGACTTATTTTTATTGGCAGTGGAAATAAAGTGCACCCAGAGACGGGTATCTTGAAAGGAGGTGAACAGGAGCACCAGGTGCCGGTGATGGAGCGCAGCTCACCTGCCAGGCTGAATCTGCCGTTGACTCAGGGTGAGAGTCAAGACTCTTCATACACATGTATTCTTTTCCAAATAGAAATCTCACAGGTATTACAATGGCATGAAATCTAACTCAAAGAATTTTGGACATTAACAGTATGCATATATCTTCAAAATTTGAATGTCTCAGATCCAAAATTTGAATGTCTCAGAGTCAAAAGTTATTTTCTGTTAGCAAAGATAAATATGTTAAGGTGAAATTTAAAATCATCTTGTTTTCATCAGAGATGAACATTTCAGCTGCAGGTAGGAATCTTGTTCATAGGCCTGCATGTTCACAGTAGTAATTAAACACAATTATCTTCCATCTTTTACATAATCTTACATACATATAGGATTTATCTTGATACAGAGAGCATATTTCCAACATTTCTTTTGTGTTTTGATAGCTAATCAGATTCTTCATGTCCATTTCAGTCCAGTAAAAATCACTACCTGTGATGTGTAACCATTCCAAGCTGTCTAAAGTGACACCTGTCTCAATTTTGTCATTAGAAATGTCTGATGACATTTAAAATGTATAGATTTTGTTAAGTTCCCATAAACATTGGTGTTTTTTGAATGAAGGAATTTCCCCAAAGCATTACTGTCAACAGGGTCACCCTAAAAAGAGGCAAATTCACTAATTCAGCATCATTCTCTCATGCAGGTGAACAGTGGAGAGTAAATAAGTAGGACTAAAGAAATTGAGTTTTAGATTTTTGTTTTCAGTCTAGCATCAAAATTGATGATTCTAAAAAATGAAATGTCTATGTATAAAAAAGGTTTCAGTGTTACTACTTGCTCCAAACACAAATTCAATTTGTTAAACTTAGCAGGTTTGCTTTCCCTGTTCACAATTTTATTATGTTCTTAGTGCTCTGATAAAGGTTTCTCAAATAAAGGAAACAGAAGATGCTGCCCAGAAATCCATCCCTGTGGATTTGTAGTACTGATTGAACAAACTTCAAAGATTTGACAGTTCTTAACAACTTCTGCTAATCAGGCTTTTTTTCTAGGTTCTCTTCATCAACTTGGCTCTCTACAAATATTCTGACAGCTTCTTTCTTGCCCCTTAACATCCTTGCTCTCTCCTTAAATCCCTAAATAATCAAGACTAGGATTTTTTTTGTCTTGATATGAAAAATAGGTAATAGGCCTTTCGTAGGCCCCAATGAAGTAGTTTTTCTCCTCTAAACCGGCTGGTTGGTGCAGAACAGGTTAAGGCCCTCCCCAGCCTGCAAGCCACAAAATTCACCTGGAAGGATCCAGGTAGTGTGCTCTGTCTCTAAGATGGGATGGTCGGCTGCCTGGGTATCACAGGTCATTGCATATTGCTGGGAGGCTGTTATTGTCACTGAGCCTTGTGCAACCATCTGAAACACAGAAGGAAATTACAAGGGAAGAAATCTGTTTATCAGTAGGCTTATGGAAAGCAGTGACTACACCACCTTCCTCTTAACTCTTGCTATTGAGAAGTTTGGATCTCCAGGCACCACGGAAGTTTCTGTTTCTCTGGTGCTGCCTTCCTTAGGACAGAAATACTTTATTTTCCCAAGTGCTATTTATGGACAGCTGTTTGACCTCTCCCTTTCCCTCTTCAGAAACTGAGAATCAACAGCAGGGTAGGTCATGTGTACGTGAAGGTAATGCAAGGGGACGTTGTCCCACAGATGTCTTCTGGTGTAGCAGAGCCTGCCTCTAACTTTGTGTGGGGTTTCTAAGAACTTATTTTTAAGTAACAGTACATCTCATGTCTCCTTTATGGTGTGCCCACAAGCTATGCTGGTCTATAAGTATTGACAAAAGCATTTTATCACAAGTATTGAGATTTCTCCACCTCCCATTGTAGACGTCTCCTGGAATCAGCAGTTGCTGATGAAGCAGTCCCCGCATCGCGCAGAGGACATTCGGCAGAGATCATTCCTGGGCCAGAGTGCGGGACAACAGCCAAGCTCTGCAGGAGAAACAAGGAGGTGAGAATGTAAAATAAAGGTTATGACAGAGGTTGAGAAGTCCTGCTCACTCTGTTCTCCTTTATATTCCTACTCAGCATTCTTTATCAGTTAAGTTTCATGGGTAGTCCTGCACTGTGCAGACACCTTCGATTCCTGGCTTTCCCACCAAGACTGCTGTTTATCCACTTCATTTCTCATTACGGGTACCCCAGTAACTAGTTTCACGAGGGAGGACACATCCTGCTTGCCATACTCTGTCTTCTGTCTCCTTAGGTCTTTAAACACTGGTCTGCATAACTGTTCATGTGTTTCGTCTGTTTTAAGTCCCTAAGACAAACATTTATAGCTAGTAAATGGCTAAATATCAGGGTGGGAATGTCAGGAGAAGTCTGCCTCTTTGAAGTTGGTATCCAAGAGCTTCATTCCCCAGCTTCTAAACACACATTGGTTGCTGCTTTCTAGTTCTTTAAGGATTATAGCTTTTAAAAGAAGATATATAGAGATTTGTATTTTCTTTCTGCTATAAATTTGGTGAGGTTTTTTTCTTCTCTGGTGCTTTGCCTTGTGTTTTTGAGTGAGCATTACTAAAAAGTAACACCAGTTCTTTCAGTAAACAAGGGATATGTTTACCTAATATTTGCAAAAAGTGTATCTCTGTAAAGAGAAAGGAACATCTGTTTTCATTAGCATATATATGAACACAGTCTCCTGCAAGATATGTTACCTCTGTGAAGCTTGTATCCAGTCAAAGCTAATGTAGATTGAGGTTTGATTACCCATTCTTCATAACAAACTGCTTGTGTGTGTTTGAGAAAATTGTTATTTAATCTGTAAAGAGCTTTAAGCAGTGAGAGGTTGAATCGATCCTATGATTTCTGATAACAAAAAACATCTGTGTTTTTTCTCACCAAATTTTTGCAGGGTAGAATGGACACAAATAACAATAAACCACTTTTCAGTGTTGGTAGCTTCCTTTTTACTCAGTAAAAGGCACAGACCCTCCATCAACTACCCTGCATCTGCTCTGCCAGTGTGCTTCTGTGCACAGAACAGAACAGAGAGTACAAGGTGCCTTGGCTTAACCCTCCTTTGTCATGGTGTGAGCTGTGTTGGGTTGGTAGGTGGGCAGGAGTCTGCACATGGCTGATTACCTTGTGAATTATCTGATTGAGCAATAGCAGGCAGACCAAGACTCAGAACCAAAAAATTGTGCTATTTTTCATTGTATCAAAATGGCAGTGGACAGTGAATTTATACCTTGTTTTCCTTGGATAAAATTTTTAGAGCTGGAAATTGTCAGCACAAATCCTCTGATTTTAGTTGTTCTTCAGCTGTAGTAATGCATTTTCTCTCCTGTGTTTTAGGGCAGGCTATCATGAGAACTTCCAGTCTGGGCCATCATCTCCCTGCTCTCCTGCTGCTCCGAGTCAGTCACCCAACAGGTACAAAAGGTCAATAAGGAATTTTGCAGACCAAATACATCCTGTAGTTACTGGTGAACTGCTGCAGTGTAAATCACATTATTATTATGTGGATGCACTATTAATTCTTCTAAATGTTGCAATTCATAACCATCCACGGAATAAACACATAGCTCCCTCTCCCGTATTTCTTGCCTAGTTCAGCAGTATTGTTATGTTTTCAAATAACACAGTTCAGAAAGCAGCTGTAGGACTCTGCTTGATCATTGAAATTTCAATGAAACTGAAATGGGATAATATAAGCCCCAGTCAAAGTAAGCAGTAAAGCGTGAGTTCAGAGCACTTAAGCCAAAGGATGTTGTCTTCACTGTGAATGGTTGCATGCTCAGGAGCAAGGTATACTCTAGATGTTGTCACCGACTGACATTTCAACACTTGCTGATTTAAAAAGAAATCCTTCCCTTAATTTCCAAACTTGAAACGCATTTTGCTTTTTTGCTGGTGGTTTTTTTTTTCCCCTACATTCGTGCTAATCTGGAGATTTGATTCTCTCAGGCAATGAGATGTGCAGCTTCCAGTGAGATATGTGTACCAACTCTAAATATATGTTAACTGTAGCCTGATAGAACCACTGATCATTTGGGGTATACTAAAATCAGTTGGCTTATTAAATAGGGTAAAGTAATACAACACAGAAAACATAGCAAGTTTTTGTTCTATTTGAATAACATTTTTCTTCACGTTTGATAGAAAAGCCCTCCTTCCGATGCCATTCGCATTGACGTGAAGCTATTAGGAATTTTTAATGTGAACAATTTCTTCTGTTCTTTCTAATTGTAACTGCAGTTTTGGTGGGATTGCAGGTCATTTGTTGCTACATGTAGCTAGTCATGATAGCTACCTCATATTATTTAGCAGCTATATCCTGATCTGAGACCCTTTTCCAAAATCTTTTCCTGAAATAAATCTTAGTTTTGGAAACAATGGATGGGATGTAATTTGTTGTTCCACTAAAAGATTAGAAAACTTCTTTTAAAAAATTTCCCAAAGCACTTTATTCTTTGATCCAACATTTTAACTTGCCCTTGTAATAACTCTGGTAGTGGAGAAGTGAAAACAAAGGTGGACTCAAGAACTAATGCAGAGGGATGTGAGCAGAAGGTTGTAGGGGAGGAGAAGAAACCAGGGAAGTTATTCTGAAAGGAAAAATGAGAGTGAAGCAAGAAGACAGTGATGTGCCTGTGCTATCAGTGTACATGGTGGAATAAAGAATAATGGGCCCAGGAGTGACAGCGATTAGATGGAAGCAAGGACAGTTTTCTGGTTATGATGAGTCTTTCTGCTGCTTCTTTCTCTCTCTCTCTCTTTTTTTTTTTTTTTTAAATGGCTTTTTTTATCATGATGCAGTCCAGATCTGTCTCTGTTGGTGGCTTTTTATGTTGTTGCACCAAAACCATAAAGCAAGATATTGTAAACTTGCTTATCTGTGTACAATTTCATCAAACCATCCTTTCAAAACTCATGAAGTATCCCAAAGTTTCTCTCCTGGTTTCAGCCCTGGCTGAAAAAAGCATGGATGACACATAATGACAAAGGATCCCTTTTGGTCTCAAGTTCATCTCACTAGACAAACGTCAATTCTGGCAGGCTGGCAGACAGGTGAGAAGGAAAAGAGAGTGAGAAGGGTGAGAGCATGAAACACATAGAAGTATGCACCTGCACTGCCATTAAAAGCATTATGAAAAAGGGTACCAGTTATTCCTGGGGCTCTGATCCCTCACCCAGCTGTCACCAAACAGCTGATTTACTACAAAGGTCTAGACAGGACTGAAGCTTAAGGAGAGAGGTGAAGTATTTTTGCATTGCAAATGGAGATCTGATTTCAGCTTTACTCGAACTAGTTGGAGTACTAACAGGCACGTAGCTGCAGCAGCATAGACTAAAATTAGTTAGCAAGTGCCTGATGCCTGGTCCGTGGTGCTGCAGTTATGCTGCTGCTGTTGACTTTGCCAGCTTATTTGGGTGTAAGAGCAGCATCCCTGCCTTCTGACTTGCAGTAAGCAAACCCATTTGGAGACAAATTGAAAAATTTCCAGGGTGAGAGTCTGACTCGGGTAATTTGTGTGAATATCTGCTTTGATTGCTGTGGCATTGACTGGGTCTAGGTAATCCACAGGCATGGTTCCCTGCCATCTGGGTCTGTGTTATGAGGCTTGCATCTCCCTTGATCTAGCACAGCAGGCTGGCAGGGAAATGGATCTGAGCTGCTGTCATTCAAGCATTTTAAGTCCTCTGCCTGCTTGTCTGCAAGGCAGACGTGCAGGCTGATCAGCAACATGATTGAAGGGTCAATGTGTATTTATGTGACACCCCCAATGCTCCTTCCTCCCATCTTGTCCCTCTCCATAAACCTGTGTCAACATTTGGCTACGTTTTACCTTCAGTTGCTGTTCTGTTTTCTTAAAGTCATGTTTGTCTCCCAGGTCTGTCAGCGGAAAGAAGCTTTGTTCTACCTGTGGGCTTCCTCTTGGAAAAGGAGCTGCCATGATTATTGAAACGCTTGGTCTTTATTTCCATATTCAGTGCTTCAGGGTATGTCTCTTGCTTTATTAAGAAAAATCTCAAGTCTTGCACACTGTGAGGAGAGAGTATATTGAGGGCTGTAGATGTGAAACTGAAAATGAGAGGACCAACGGATTCACATGTTTGTTATGTATGTGTGTGTGTGTGTGTTTGTAGAGAAGTGGAAGTAATGCAGCTAATACGTTATTTTGTTTTCAGACATGTTAATTGGACTAAACCCCATGATTTAGCAAGCAAACTTAGCTTCCTCACTTACAGAGGGAAGCATCATATAATTTCCCAGTTGTACTCATTGTTTTTAAATATAAAATCAGTTACCATGTGGTTTGGTTTTTTTCCCCCCCTCCCTCCAAAAAACCTGGTCAGTCCCGAAGCCATCTTTGATCTGACCCGTGTTTGGAAAGCTTTGGCTATGGAATAGGCAATGTCTTCAGCCTTTCACCAGAGCTCTCAACAGAAATACCTCATGGCTGTTCTTGAGCATCTGAAGATAGTGTTTTCCAGAGAACTCAGAAAGTGTCCATTTCCATTATCTTTGGCCCAGTTGGGCCAAGTTGGTTTTAGACATTCATGAAGACTTTTTTGGTTTTAGACATTTACCCAAACTAAACTTCTTGCCTCTCTAAGCTTTGTCCAGCACAAATGGGCTGGCTCTGGCATGCAACGTCAAAATCAGATGTCCCTTAAAATCACTGGACTTCACTTCTGTGTAAGTGGAGACTGCTGAAATCCAGTCCTAAATACTGTTGGCTCTAAAATAAACCTTTCACTGATTTGCAGTGCTCCCTAGGAGTATGGGCTGGATTCTGGGGGTTATTTTTTTCTCACTGTTCCAAGAACTATTGAAACAAGTCAATACTTGGGGAGAGTTGTGATAGATAGTAGGGCATGGTCTCTCTTACTTTCTCTGTTCTTCAATTGACAGTGTGGCATTTGCAAGGGACAGCTGGGAGACGCAGCAAGTGGGACAGATGTCAGGATTAGAAATGGTCTTCTTAACTGCAACGATTGTTATATCCGATCCAGAAGTAAGTACCAACTCCTGTCCAAAGGACAGTGAACTCTAACAATAATGTTGCCAAGATTTTAACTGATGAGTTTTTCTCCTGGAAGAAATGTGTTCTCCCTTATGCCCAAATGGCTTTGCCACTCAGGTATAGCTTCACCATGGGAAGAGGAGCCTTCCCATGCTATTTTAATCATCCTCTTGTATCAAAAAAGATTTCCAAGCCCATCAAACCTTGCCCAGAGGATCTCTTCTCAGCTATATTAGACTTAAAGGCTGATTCTGTGCATAAATATAAGCTCCTACACTGTGCAAACACAGTGAATATCATGAAGGTTTGGATCTGTCACATCACGTGCGACAATGTAGGTACTTGTACTAGATCTAGGACTCTGGGCCTTCTTTGGAGAAGTTCCCATTTTTTATGTCTCCAGGCCTCCATTTGCAGACAAAATGGTCAAGGAAAATATTAGGAACATTCTGTAACTCATAATGAATCCTTGTGGTGGTATCCCCAGACATGTGCTAAAGTGTTGCTTGCTGCAAGTTTTGAAGAATGAGCCAGACAATTGCAGGTCAGAAAACAAACTTGATGCATTTTTCTGCCTTAGAGCAGGTCACTTGAATGTCCTTCCTAGTCCTGGATTTCTGTGACTGATACCAAATTGCTAGAGCATTTCAGCTTCACCCTGATGTCACCAGTGGTATGAGATGGGCAGTGCTCACGCTGGCTTTCTACTTCATGGAAAACAGTAAGACACAGAAAAAAAACATGGGAGTAATTGTTGCCTTCCCGATACATGTTTCTGTTCAGTATATTCACTGCCTACAGTCCTAACTGATAAGTGGAGATATAGAGTTCTTTTCACTTACTATTTCCCTTCTTCTCTCTCAAAAGCAGTGGCTGTAGAAATCCAGGAGTAGGAAAGGTACCAACCTACCTTTGCCAGCAGAATATTTTTTTTCTCTGATGTTTCAGGAGATAGATGTTTCCCTATCAGCAGAGCTAGAGGGTGCTATTGTATAACCATTTGTTTCGTGATTTTTTTTTTGAATTCTAAGAAATGTTAGCAACTTTTTATTATTATTTATTTAACTTGGCACATTTAGAAATAGCTCTTCTCCTTCAGGGTTGATATTATAAACCTTCCTCATGTGGATGAGGTCCTGACCCTTAAAATGCATGTTTGCACATCCATCTTTACACAAAAAAAGAGAGGAAGGTGATGAAAGTCATATTTTTCTTTTTCTTCCTAATCCTTTTTACTTAAATAAAAATTGAGGTCCCTTAAGGATAGATGAAGGCTCAAATAAATTATTTATCAGCTTATGTGCTGTAGAAATCACCCCTTCCATCATCATTTCTACAGCAGCGGTGCTAGAAAATGCAGTACAGAGCTGTGTACAGTGTTCTGTGCAGTAAGGTTTTGCATTTGTACATGCCTAGCACAGCGGTAACCCGGTCCATGACAGAGGGAACAGGTTTTGAGGAAATGTATGGTTCCTGAAGAATAATAATGGCAAGGGTTTGTCTTTTTTCCTACAGATTGCCTCTTCCTGCTGTGTCCAGTCCTCATGCAAAAATCTCAAAATATGATTTAGTTGAATTTAAGTTACACTGGCTCTTGTTGACAGTTTCAAAGGGACTGATTTTTATAGAACTGCAAATATGGTTAGTTGTTCATTTTTCACTAGAATTTGATGGACTCCACATCTGAAATGAAGAACAAACTGGTGCAATCTCAGTGTTTTGCCTTTCAGTTCTGGGAAGTCTGATGCTACATATAAAATCAGTTGCCTGATTGTACAGCTCGTGCCTTCCTGCCCCCATGGCTACATCTGAAAACCTGTGCAGCAGTGCGCACAACTGACGGTCTCTGACCAACCCAGAATTAATCAGTATTGTTTTGAGATGCTTATGGACATCTCGATGAAATATTTTGGCTGCCAGAAGCTTATTTGAAACTGTGGGTGATTCTGTTTCAAAATAAATTATCAAAAACCTTAAGAGAGAAAAGCATTAAAGATTATGTAGTGGTCCAGGGTCCAAAATATTTCTGTTTTTCAAATAAAAATGAATGGGGTTTTATTGGTAGGTTATTTCTCTACAACAAAACCTCACAAGGAAGGGAACTCGGTATTCAGTGTCAAACACGGGGAATAGTCACAGGTTTGTGAGTGTCAAAGTCAAAGGCAAGAAGTAAATTAATGAGATTCCCTGTATGGCCAAATAACACAAGGGCCCTGTATTACCACGTAACACAACCCAGGCACAGCTGAAGATGACTCATCAGTCCTTTGCTTTACTATTTTGGCACTGCAGAGCCTGAAAGTAAATATACCCACAAGTACTTTGGGAGTAAAATGAAATAAAAGTGCATGCAGAATGCATTTGTCCATGTGGCATGGAAAATATATTTCCACTGGAGTTATGCTGAATCTTTCTTTGGAGTTAGAGCCCCGGCTTTGCAGGAAGAAAGAGAGGCAGGGCACAAATGATATGTATTTCCAGATGCGTTTTTTTTTTAATTGTAGAGATTGTATGAGGAGAAACCTGTGTATGTTTGTTAAAATCTGTCAGCTAATGACTTGGTTTCATTTTGTTTTATCCAGCTGCTGGACAGCCAACTACATTGTGACATGACTTTCAGTCCTAATAATTTTCAAGAAGGAACTCTCTTCTCGTATGTATCGGCTGCCTGCAGACAATCACTTGTAAGAGCTTGAATCCATGGACATCATGGCTCTCATCTGATTTTGAAAAACTCATAAAAATGCTGCACCTGCTCCTTTAAAATGCAATATGTTGGTTTTTCCCTTTCTTAAGAAATGAGAGAAATATGTATGACCATGTTTGGGAAGGCAAAGCCTAAGTACTATAAAAAAAAATCCCACCTTTCAGGTATGTTTATGATTTCCAGTCTGTTACCTTGTTCTTTTGAAAGTAATAAGAAAATAAACATGCAATAAAGCTGTTTTGTTTTAATATTTCTAGGAATTAAAAAGTTTAAGTTTACAGAACCTTTATAGAATATGCCAACTTGAGCTGAGAAGTAATTTTAAGATAGTATCTAATCAGCGCATTTGAAAAACTAAACATCACAGCACGACTTCTCTGTTATAACTGAAGCTATAACCTTTTTTATACAGAGACTAGTTTGATAATACATCCTGTAATTCTGAAGCATTTTGTGTTTATATTACCTTCAGTGGAGGGTAGGAGTTATACAAATAAATTATTGCACCTTTAGTGATAGGATTTTTTTGTTTGTGTACCTCAAGTAATGTTCATGACTATAGCTTAATATTCTCTCCAATAAAGATTTCTTCATTAAACCTAAAGACTGTATACCGGTAACGATGGCAAGATTCCCATCAGGAGCAATCCTTCTTACAAAGTTCAGCAGCCCGTGTTGTTATTAAACTTGATGAAAGGTGATGTGGGGGAGAGGCGGCTGAGTGGGCGGACACAGCTGAGTTGCGAGTCTCCCAGCTGCGGTTTGATGCTAGGGTGAAGCTTTTCTTTGGCGTGTAACTTGCCCATTGATGGTCTGAGTTGGTTTGAGATATGCTCGTTCACTTGCAAACATTACGGTTGATTGAAATCTCATGCAGAGAAACATATGTGGTTTGGGTGCCCTCCAGAGCAGGGAATTAAACAGCCTTGAGCCTGTGTTCCTCCATACACCACCCGAATAAAGTCAGCAAAAGCCGGGAGTGTGGAAGGCGGGCAGGGAGGAGGCTGGCAGCGGTAGGAAAAAAAACTTTAACTTGCCTGTGTTTGGGCCAGTTTTCCTTTTGTGCTTTTTGATTAAGCACGTGCTCCTTACTAAAGTGATCCAGCAGCTCGTTGAAGCAGCGGTCAGAGCTGTGTCACTTTATCTACAATACACAGACAAGGTTAGGGAATGTGTTGCAATTGTAAAATATCCTAGCACTTTTTGGTAAACGGTTATTGGAAATATCCCATTTTAGCAGTTCATGATGCAACTTAAAATGGAGGAAAAAAAATCTACTGCTTCTGCCTTAAAACCATGATAAAAGTAAATTAATAGAGATTCATCTATGTGCACATCCATTGTCTTTCGATGTGTTGGCAAATGGAAATGAAGTGGTTATTAGGGACGCAATAATTTTGAGTTATTCTATAGCTAGCAACTATTTATTTAAACACTACACAGTTGCTTGCGTGTGAGTTGCATACCCATGCAAAACTGCGTGTCATGGAAAACCCACATACGATGTTGTCACTGGAGGACATTGTGACTCTCTGCTGGGAAGTTACATGTTAACTTCCTTAAAATTGTGCCTTAGAAAATGCAAAGCTGTTGCACACAGTCAATGATGACTTATGGATGCAATAAATCCAAACACCTGAAGTCCTTCATGGACTTCACCTGAGGAATATTTTTTAAAAAAATAAATAATCAGAAAAATGTTTTGGAAATAAAAGTGATGTCCAGTATTTGGATTAGCCATCTGCATGATTTACTCTTAAAGGGTTTTGATAACCAGGATGCTTACACTTTGCATGTGGTCATCATAACGTTTTCCCACAAATAACACGTAACGTGGAAATTCAAGAAGCGGATTTTATAACCGACTTTGTACATCTGTATAATTCCATGTGCTGCATTAAGGATATGTGAATATATGATGTCTGGGCCTGATTTTTAAACGAGACCGTGCATGCTTGTGCATCTCTTTGTTATGAGTCGCTAACACTGCTTCACCCACGTGATGGAGTTTAGATGCGCAAATCGGCCCCCAGGTGTATAAAAGGGTTGGTTGCCACAGAGGTTAGAGCTGCTTCTCGTTCGCGTAGGGGTAATGGCTGGGACGAAAATGCATGGGCGAGGGGTGGGGCGGGGGTGTGCGTCGCGCTGCAGACGCACCACTGGGTCTCGGAAGCTGCTTGGAAATTGATCCCAGTGTCTATCAATTAGTTTCATATATGCATGTTTTAGTCAAGTTTGATTGTACGTACAGCAAAATGAAGCGGCTTTCTCAGACGACGATTTTTTCCCCCTTGTGAACATCTGTTCACCAGCGCAGAATAATTTTCAACAGTTTTCTAAATTGTACTTGCTAACTGCTTATATTTGATTTTATATTTCCTTTGGAGTCTTACATGGCAGATTCATTCAAGCTGATCTTTCCCCCCCCCCTTTTTTTTTTTCAGTTTAAGCACATAAATATGATACATTTCTTATCAGGAACTTTGAATGCAGAAAAAAATAATGCTTTACTACAATTGAACTACAATGTAAATGTATTTGTTGCAAAAAATGATTCATTATTGGTAAGCAAGTACAATGTATGTAATGGGTTTTAGATGTTTCAGAATTTATTTAGCCTCTTACTACTTCAGAGAACCTGAGCAGGTGTCATAACCCACCTGTATTTCACAACCCCGTTTTCCATGGTGTATTTTTTCCTTGCTCTTGCTATGTAGTGTTACTGATGCAGTACATCTGTAGTTCTCGGTGAATGTCCTAAAGGTTGGTGAACCAGAAGGGGACCATCCTTACCTGCATGTCCATTCAAGGACAAGGATTGCTATCCTAGCTGCGGCTAATGTTGAATACCAATTATGCTAATCTTCATTTTATTTATTCTAAAATGCCTCTGGAAATTAGGAAAACTTGTCTAAAATGCAACAGCTTTTATAGTAAATGTATGTTTATAAATAAAATGTTGATTACCTTTGGTGGTGTTGATTTTACTTATTATAACTAATTTCTCCTACTGCATGCGATGTGTCCGTGAAACTGGATTGCAGAGTGTGTACATCCCGCTGGTAAAAGCTGCTTGATTGGGGTAGGCTGAACCAAGCTATATTCCACAAAACCTGGTTATGTCGATGAGAGAATAAAAAAGACACACGTGAGATGGGATGATAGCCTGTGGATTGCTGCTGTAAGCTCTGTTTCCAAGAGCATGTGTGGCTGTCGTGGTAAAAGATGAGCAGAGATGGCTTTCTGTGGGTCAAACCCAAAGTCCTCGGAAGGTCCTTCATTGATGTCAGTGGACTGTGGTTCAGACTTTGACTCAATAAAGCACTTTATGTACTGCAAAGCTAAATATGTGCTTGGTTAATTCAATTTCTACATAGCAGGTTGTGCTTAGTTAGGCAGTGCTGCAGTATCACTGATTCTTGAACCTCAATGAGTACGTGGCTTCACCAATAACCAGCAAAAAGTTCACACAAAATTTTAAACTAATAACTGCCCCTTTTTTTTTTCCTTTCTAATTGGGTCTTCAGTGAATGACGGGTTTGGTTTTGTGCCAGGAGCGCATCTTGGCTGTTAGATGAGTCACGGGGAAGTACTCACAATTTAATTTTTTGAAAGCAGATTTTTATCCCAATGCCTTAATGGAAATGGTAATGGTCTTACATTATTTCTGCCTGTATGTCTCTGGACAAAGGGCCAGCTTTGCTCTGCGGTGGAAGGGGTACGCTGGGGTTCCCAGCAGCGAGCGTCGGTGCCGCGTCTGCGGGAACAGCTCACTGCCGCTGGAGGTTGCTCTGAGGCTGGGGTTGGAGGCGGTCAGGCAGCTGCTTCTGCTTCAGCAGCTCTGCACCAAGGTTGCTGGGCACCCAGACAAGCACGGTTTGGGTGACTGCGACCCTTATGAGCCAAGTAAAATGGTGGAAATCCTGGTACGTTTTTTTTTATTATTATTTTCTGGTGAATGTGACCTGGCAGCTCTGACCTGACCAGAGTCGTTTACGATCCTAAAAGGGCACCAATAGGGGTGCACTCCATCAGCACTGATTTATGCCCAAATAATTCCACAACCCTGATAAAAGGGGAGTTGTGTCACCTGCTCGCCTCACCAGCACCTTCGTCTGCACGTAGCAAGGGCTGCCAGGAGGGCCCCAAGGGAGAGCAGCCTGCTAACAGGGCCTCGGCATGCCCTGGGAGAGGACGATGGCTTGCCAAGCAGCGGGATGAAGCTGGGGGTATGTGGAGGAAATAAGGGGGTAGTGTGGGAGAGGAGGGGGCTGTGGCAGCTGAGGCTCAGACGTGGGGGCAGAGGATACCCCATGCAAAGGGGGATGTGGGCCAGGTCCCCCAGGAGAGCTCTGTGCCTCCTCCGCACCCCGTCCAGGTGTGATGCCTCCATCCCTCCCCTTTCCCCATTGCAGCCAGGCGGGATGAGGGCTCCGTTTCCTCCTCTGCGCCCTTGCTCCAGGGTCCCGCCGACCCCCTTTGTTTGCTGTTTGCTTTCTCTCTTTAGCAAGTGTTTCAGTGCAGAGATCATCAGTGAACACAGCCAGGTGCTGGTAGCTGTTGGAGGCTCCAGGCACAGGTAATAAACAGCAGTAGCTTGCTCATCTCATGAGTATTGATCCTTATCCAGACAGCTCTTCTGGGGGATAGTTAAAAGCAGGCAGCTACCACTTTGTTTAGAAAATTAGCTTTAGGTACAGTTCTTGCTGCCCAATTTAGCAAAGATTTGGTGTCAGCTGGGTCCCCTTCCTGATAATGGGAAGCTGGTTAAGTATTTACTCAATAAACTTTGTGGAGAGGGGGCTTGCCCTGCTTTCTCCTGCCTTGTCTCTGCTCTCCGGAGAAAAGGTTGGGTAACTGGGGAACAGGATGACAAAATGCTCATTTTCAGAGCCACGTCTGCAGTGAAAATCTGAAGGGGTTGTGGACACTGGACATGAGCAGATGACCGCCACTTGGCTGGGAAAAAAAGAAAAGTTGCCAGAAAAATACATCTCCTGTAAAGGCAAACAGGACTCCTATATACCTCTAAAAGCCTCCGGTAGGAATGTAATTTCATCTGAATTCCCTGATAAGGGGAAATGACTAAACTGGAAGCTGCTCAAGTTTTGCAAGCAGTAAGAGCCCAAAACAGACATAGAAAGTACAGGGTGGGCTGTGACTCTTCTCACAGAACGGTGTGGGGCTGGTATTTCGGGGCGGTTTCTATTTTCTTGTTCATCTTTGTTACAACACGTAGCATGAGTTAAACATGCAAGAGGGATGCTTACCCCTCTGCAAGGCTATAGCTGCTGCTCTGTAGACCTTACTGAATACCCCATGCTCTGCAAGAGTAGCTAGTGGAGCTCTCCTCCCCAAAGCATGTGGGGTTTTAAGGCATTTAGGAAAAAAAAAAATCTATTATTTGAGACAGTCTTATGAGTCACTGTTAACCCATCCGTAGCGTCCGTCTGCTTCACTGCGCATGATGCACTGCAAATTCTCGTAGCTAATGCTGCATCCATAATTCACAGATGCATTTTTCTAGGCAGGTAACCTGCTGCTTAAAACATGCTGAAGCCAGTCATATGGGTCTAGAAACTAAACCAAAATTAACAGAAATGCAAATCTTTCCTTGAAATAACAGAATTTATCAAACAGAAATAAGAAAACAAGATTTTAAAAATTCCTTTTGTCTATCACTTCCAATTATAAACAACAATCTACCCCAGTGACAAGCACGGGAACAGAGCCATGCCACCCACATCTCTGGGAACTACCTGGTAGCTTCCCGTGTTGAGGGTCAGAGCAGAGCGTTAGGACGTGTGGGACAGAAAATGT